TATCATTCCAGTCTGTACTGGTTTTGTTCTTAAGTCCTCTAACCATGTCATAAATCTCTTTCTCTTCCACTGCTCTTAAAAACATTGAGCTACTATTCCTTTCAATATTTTCACCAGTGTCCCTTTCTATTCCATCAACCTTTATTTCTTCTGCCAGTTTTGGCCCTATGTTTACGAAGAATTCATTAAAGCCATTTACTATCTCTTCCATGTTATTAGTACTTCTTGTCCCTTCTATAAAGTACCCAGGGTAATCATTATTCCTTGATTCATTTTTGATTATTCTGTTTAATACATTCCATATATCTCTTGTGTTATCTTTATTGTGTTCTAACCTTTTAATGTAATACTCTCTTTTACAGGATCTCATTATATTAGTTAATTTATTTTTGTAAGTTAGTAGAGTATGTTATAAATAGTTCGTTTATACCCACTGTAAAGCCAAAATGTCATTTTTACCTCGCAGTAGTTTCCACAACTTAATAAATGTAATTTCTTGTGTTTTGGTTTCTGTGCTGTTGCCAAATTAAAAAAAAAGTATGATTTCATGTATCAATATTCAGAAAAGTATCTTTTTGTTAACTTCAAAGCATGAACAACTCATGACTTCACAACTCACTAGAATCAGCAAAATCCTTTCTGCTCAACTGACACATAATCCCCCATTTCAAGAAAGGAGCTAGAATCCACACACTGAGAGTCCTCTCAAGGTTCTTTCATATTGATGATGTTTTGACATCTCAGTATGTAATATACTCTGAAATGAATCAAAGGCACACAAAGTGGAGGCAGTAAAATGGAGGGTGGAGTGGGGTGGAAAGCAAAAAGATAATCTGTCAGGGATTTACACTATGAGAAGCTCTCTCCTGGATGCTAAATGTCGCAAAGCTAATGCCAGTCTCCGATGGGAAAAGTGGAGGATTAGCCACATCTGCACTATGGGAAGAGACGACAACAAAATGCTGTTGTTGAGAATTCAATGAAGCAGCAGTCTGTATCACCCGCTTATGTAAATTTGACACAAATTCGTACGCCTGCAACATGATGTTTGCCCTAAAGATGACAGCAGCTTGTTGTGTTCAATTAGAAAAGTGTTGTTTATCGGAAAATGTGCCGTTTCTCAGCTGAGATGATCAAAAGTCGTTGCTTTTGTTTTAATTATGTCTACTGAGAAAAGTAAGAAACAGATCTTGGCAGCTTTCTGCATTCAAACAGCGCAAAGGCTAAAAGGCCAAATGCTAGTATGACTCGTGAGCTGCAGATATTCTAAACACATCTTATGTTAAGACTCTCTTTAGATCAAAACTCTTCATATCCAGCATATCTTAGCAGAAGGTTCGTGGCCGTCTCTAGTAACTCTAAATATTATGCTAGTTATTATTAGGCTTCATGTGACAGAATAAAAATGCCAACTTTGTTCAGTTTGCTTTTAACTAGGGCTGCCACAAACGATTATTTTGATAGTCACTAGTCACCGATTATTTTTGCGATTAGTCCACTAATCAGATCAGACGTAAAAGGTATAGATTATTGCACCAGCAGCATCTGCTCTTATATAACTATCATTAGCTTACAGCTTGAAGTGTTTGTGCTAACTAACAATAAAGACAAGATGATAGTTTATTACATTTTAATGAAATTTGCAGATTGTTTCGGTGAAGTTTAATAAACTCCTTGCTATCTAAAATATAACAGGACACCGGAGTAAATTCTCGAGCATCTCACACTTCTGATGATCAGCTGTCTGCTTGACGTTTATTCAGCTGTGTAAAAACTATAACTTTAATCTCAGCCAAACCGATTTACTCAGGAACAAATAAAACACTGAAAAAAGCCAAACAATAACATTTTTAAGTTATCTAAGTGACTTATATATGTTTAACCTGAGTAACAAAAGACGGCGGTGGGTTTGAAATGATTTGCCGGGAGTCTGGTGTTCTCAGAGGCTCTAGTTAGCCTAGCCCCCAGCTCACTATCGAGCTAGTGGGTAACAGACGTCTCCGAAAACGTCGGAGCTCTATTGAAAATATGCGGTGTCTTGATAAACTGAGCAGATATTTGAGGTTTACACAGCTACATTCTCGCCTGAAAATATGTTAAACGTTTATTTTGTGACCCAGAAAGAATAATAAGAGTAATATTAAAACTAACTAGCTGCCGCCATTGTTGGAAACTGAGCTGGGCTGCGCTATGAATTCTGGGACACAGCTACTTCTTCTTCTTCGGGGTTTAACGGCAGCTGGCATCCTTGTACATGCAGTGCTGCCATCTTCTGTTTCAGTCCGTTATTACACTCTTAAATCCTATACTCATTCCTGCGTCCTTTGTGATCTTACAAAGCTTCAAACGATGCGTTGACTATTAAATCAGTCGTCGACGATTTTGATAGTCGACTAATCGTGACTAGTCGACTAATCGTGGCAGCCCTACTTTTAATCTCTGTATATAAAGCTTTGTGGTTTCCATTTGTAGATCATCACTGACCACTGATATTTGAAGACACTTTAGTTACATGCATATGAAGAGATGATCTGATGATGATAGCAACCCAGCATCAGCGTGGTTCAAAATATTAGCAGGTCCAAATCTAGTCAAGTATAACATTCAAGTCGTCTTAATTGCTCAATATTTTAAAACTAATTAGCCTGTGACAACCTCCTCCATCATCATCTCATTCTCCTCCTCCGTCATCTTCGCCTCATTCATATCCATTTCCTATTAATCTAAGGGACAACTTACACTATGTTGCTCTGTCAGTTAACCACCATGAAAGAATCACCTCACATGAAGAAATACATCCACATTCATTCATCTGTTCCATAAACCTTACACTGATGTTTTTTCCCAGACACAGCCAGACCAACTCTTTCCAAAGATGCAGCCTGTTTAATCAGCTGACTTTGTCCAGACCAGCATGATGCTGATGGATTGTGTACTTGCATGTTTAGTTTCAGGCTAGATTTGGGTTGCTCTGCTGTAACCAAGAAAATGTATTTCATTGATTTCTAAAGAACTAAGTGAGGAAAAGAGGCGAGTGCGTATTGAATCACATATGAACAGGGACTGAAAGTAGTACACAAAAAAGTTTAAAAAGCTGGTCTGATTAGTTTTTATTGGATTTGTATTATTTTTTATATGTGGAAGTTATTATTAATTGCATTACAATGAAATGTCAAAGCCTCATCAGAGTTATTCAAGAGTCTCTTTTCTTTTTAATTCAAAACATCTTCATGCTATGTTCAAAATTTACACCAACTTCATCTAATCCAATAAAAGAACACCACACTATTCATGACCAAGCTTTCTATGACTGATGTTGAGCATCAGTATCATGGGATATTTACATAAGAACTAGCACCCTGGATGGTTTTCTAACTGTTTTATGGAGAAATCTTAAAAACATTTTGGGTATACTTTAAAGGATTGTTGCATAGCTTGGTGAAAAGCCTCATTTCTAGCCTTAGCCTGCGTGACTGAGGCCATAACACAAGTAGAGTTAGATGATTATTATTAGAAAATAAACTGAGAGAAGGAATCTTGACCCTAACATTGAAATTTATTTATATATAAAAATTGTTTTGGACAGTCACCTATCCCACGTGGTTATATGACTTTTTAAAAGTTGACCATAAAGTACTTTATTTAAATGATTTATATTGAATTAAGAGAAAATGCATACAATGTCCAGGGCTCCAGTATTTGTTTCTGTCAATGTCATTAAATCAGCAGTGTTTTTCTATGATACAATCCATGTTAAATCAGCCTGTTCCTGTACTCAATAATTCAGAAGGCTTGTAAAAAAGCTGAAAAAAATAATGTGACTAAAAAGGACCAAATTTAAACCCATCTCTACTTACTTTGAGGGCTTGTAACTCGTGCAGTTTTTATTGTGTGAAAGTAACATTTTCGATGGATTAATTTGATATGTTACAACTAAATAAATAATAGAAAACAATCAGCTGATTCCAAGGAGTCACTAATTAATTGCAAATGTGTAATTCTTACATGCAGTTCCAATAAACAACATCACACTGTACTGTGTCGTTGTAGATGAGAACGGTAAATATTCTGAATTATTAAACGTCGTCAAGCCAAAACTTACGCTTGAAACAACAAACTGTTGTACATTCAGTGTTTTAATGGTTTGTTTGTTTGCGTGGTTTCCGTGCTGTAAATCTATCACTGCACACAATTCAATGTGCAGATGATAACAATAAAATGACACAGACAAGCACCAGTATTAAGACATAGAGTCTAACTTGTGCTACTGTATAATTCATTGTATTCTAAACTGTTTCTGCAACTAGTAGTTAAGAACAGTAAAATGTGAAAGATGTACAAGAAAAACACACTGCAGACGACCCCGAGGTTCAAGAGTGGATTAGCCTTTGATGCCGGTGAGTTAGTACAGCAATAACCCAGGGTGCACGTGGAAGTGAACACATAGGAAGTGCCTTATTACAGATTAAGATGGTTTCCCCTGCACTGAGAGACACTGATAGGATAGTTGTGACTGTATTACAGCTTATGAGCATATCTGTTTTGGAGACTTGCAGAAACTACTTAAAGACGCTGTTCCAAGGCGTCTGTTATATAACAATTTTCATCATAAAAAATAAACTAGAATGACACACACACACACACACACACACACACACACACACACACAC